AGGACAGTGAGGGTTCTGCTAGCCCTTCCTGTTACCCTGAGGCCCTCTCCCTGTCCCGCATCTCTCAGACCACCCTTCCTTGCCACAGGCCCCACCTGGCTGGCTAGCACGCCTCACCATCACCACGGAGTCCTGGGTCCCCTCCCTGAGGGTGGGAGAGGCCTCAGTGTCACTTGCTGAACACTTGCCCTAGGGGCTCCTGGCTGGAGCCATCTGGCCTCCTCTGGATAATTCCTTCCTGCTATTGAGCCCAGGCCGGAGCCTGAGAGCCCAGTTCCCCCTGGAGCTGCGGACTCCCTGTGACCTGCTCCTCACTGGAACCTTCTCTGCAAAGGACCCTTCTTCCCCCTGCCCTCTGCCTTGTAACCACTGTCCCTCCCTGACCCCTGAGAGCTTCCAGAAGGCTGAGCCTCCTCTTGCTGGGCTGTCCAGTCCCGAGGGGCCTGCTTCACAGCAGATGTGCAGGCCTCTCCTGCAGACTTGCTGAAGGCCCTCGTTCCTGGGTGGGAGTCTCTCCCACCTCTTTCTTCATTCCTGTGAGAAGAAGCAGAAGGGGCCAGCAGGGGCAGCACCTGCTCCAGCTCCCTGTCTCTTCTCCTGGACCTCCTTCCTCCTGCCTCAAACCTGGGATTTCTTTTTGCCTCTGGCTTGAAGATGCTCCCCAGACCCAGCCAGAGCGAAGGGCAGCAGTGAGAGGAGCTAGCCCAGGGGGCTTCTCCTCCTGCTATGGAGACTGGGGTTCTGCCCCTCTCCACCTTGCTTGAGGGTGATCCAGGGGCTGGCAATATGGGCGTTCCCCAAGAGCTCATCACAAACGCAGCCTCAGCCCCACCCAGCCCTCCTGAGTCAGAATCTCAGTTTCAGCCAGATCGCAGGTGATTTCTGCAGTGAATGTCTGAGAAGCACAGTTCTGGAGCCTCACTTCCGGGCCCAGGTGCCCCCACCCCCACCCTAGGGGCTGGCTTCAGTTGCCACAGAGGGGCCTGTTCCCCTCCACCACCTTCCCCCAGGGGCCCTGACCTCCAGGCCACTGACTCACACAGAAGGCACTGGCCCTCAGCCCAACGCTCTGCAACGTTGGCTCATGGGCCTGAGCTCTAAGGGACGGAAGAGATGGCTGCTGCTGCCTCTGATTCACCCAGGCCCATCTGCAGCCAGGATATAGAAGAGATTCTTTGGATCACATTCTGCATTGAATGAGTCAGGCAGAAGGGGTGTGACCCCTGCCTCACCAGTACCGGCGGTGTGATCCTGGGCATGCAGCTAAAGCTCTTGGGCTGCAGCTTCCTGTCTGTAAAGTGAAGCTAAGCATGGTGTTGACCTCACCTGGAGGTCGTGGGGCTCACCTAAGGTCATCCACCCATCCAGTCTTTGTTGTAAACAGCAGAGGTTTATAGAGTGCTATTTTGTGCCCAGCACCAGTGAACCAAATGGACCAGGGAGCAGGGAGGGACTAAAACCCACGTGTGCTCACATGTGGGCCTGTGGCCATTGAGGGTCTGCTAAGCGGATGATGGATGGATGGGTGCTCTGCAAGTGTGACCAGGCACCTTGGTCGCTTCCAGACAGAAGGCTGCCCCCATGCACCTCCACCCTGAAGTCAGTTCTGGGTCAAAAAGACACAGCCACTCAGGAGGTCAATGGAAACATTAGAAGACTGTTTCGGTGTGAGGGCCCACTGGGTTTAATGGACACAGAAGAACCAGAGTGATTGTAAAAAGATTCCAGGGCCCAGTGCAGTGGCGCACACCTGTGATCCCAGAGGCTCCGGAGGCTGAGGCAGAAGGATCACGAGTTCAAAGCCAGTCTTAGCAACTTATCAAGGCCTTGAGCATTAAGACCCTATCTCTAAAATAAAATATTAAGAAAAGCTGGGGATGTGGCTCAGTGGTTGAGAACCCCTGGGTTCAATCCCTGGTTAAAAAATAAAAAATAAAAAAATCCAGACTTGGAGCACATTGGCCTGAAATAACCAATAATTGAGGCAGGATTAGAGTCGTTTTTCAGGTAGTTTTACAAGTTCTTCGTGTGTGTGTGTGTAAAGGTCTTAAGGATGGTAAGCTTTGGGGGTATATTTTCTCAGAGTCAGAGCCTTCTTATTTAAAGAAAGTGGTTGGAACAGCTTAAGATCAATCCCCTGGCTCTTGTCATACCACCAGCCTCCTCTAGGGTACTCTGAGCCTCCCTAGATCATTGCACTTGAGAGTCAGAGGAGCTGCCAGGACCCCACCTGCTGCGTCCTGGACAGGAAACCGAGGCCTGACTTGCCCAATGTTACAGGTGATTCCAGGCAGAGATTGGAGCCCTGGTCTCCTGACCTCCAGCTCAGGGCCCTGCAGCAATCCACACATCCAGGGTCCTGCAGGGGACACCAATAATGGGCTGAGGAGAAAATGCAGCCCACCCCGCTGAAAAGGCCCGTGCTGCCTTGTTCCACCTCCATCCGTGACGGTCAGGAGAGGGCAATCAGTGGGGAGTCTACCCAGGTCAGTGGTCCCCAGGAGCTGGGCTGCAGGGCAGTCAACTACTGCAGCCCTCCCCAGAAGAGATCCTCGGGGTGGGGACTACTCTGTACCCTGATGGGCTGGGGGCCCATGAGCTCCACTCTCTTGTTAAAACTCATGGAGCCGCACACACTCTACACAGGGCTTGTTCTACTCTGCATAAACCATACCTCAACTTTTAAAAATGCAGCCTAAAATGATAGTGGTGACAATCATAACAATAACAATAACCTTGGGTGCCCAAACAGTCCACATTAGGGCCACAACACCCAGGTCTTCAGGACCCGGAAGCATGGGGAGGCGGTCCATCTGCTCCAGTGCGAGGTCTCTGACTACGGACGCCCCTCCCCAGTGGTTCCTTGGCCCAGCATCCTGGACCAGCCTGCTCCAACCCAGACAGGCTCATTGCACCTCCCCACTACCACTGCCATCACTGCCTGGTCACCTGGTCACCGCCAGCCAAATTCCTTGCCCAAACCACATGAATCATGATGCTGACTCCTCAGATTCCTCACCCCTACCCCATCTTGGTCCAGGTGCTCATCTGCCACACCTATGTGACATCTGCCCTTGGAAGGGTCACTGCACCCCAGATCAGCCTATCCAGGGCTTCCTGGGACCACACTGCATGCTCAGTCAGAGTCTTCAAGGGCCTCCTGCCACCAACAGGATTCAGAGACCTCCACAGACTGGCCCAACACACAAGAGTTCCTACATTATCCAAGGACCCCTGCCATCTTACTGCCCCAGACCCAGCTCCAAGCTGATGGTAGCTAAGAGCTGGACCAAGACAAGAGGCAGGAGGTGTAAGGGAAAGGAGAGGAGGAGACGTCAGGGGTAGGTGTGTGTCCCTGAATCCTGAAGCCTCAGAGCCTCCATCTGAATACCTCCAGTGACAGGGAACTCAGCCCCGCAGCAGCCCCTACAGCTCGCCTTATATTGTCTTTGCTTGTGGTATTCACTCCAGCTCTCCCTCCCGCAGGACCCTGGAGGACCTGGAGGTGACGATGGTGATCTCTTTCCTCACGACCTCTCAGCCAGGGCCCATCAGAGCAGGGCCAAGTGTCTCCCACTCATCTGGCCAGGATAGAAGCCTCTTACTCTGTCTCTTTCATGTGGCTCAAAAACAATTCAGTTTTTTACATCCTCTGTTGACTCAAGTTGAGCTTGTTGTGAATGAAACTTCCCCGTGGTTTTGGGGTTCCTTGTCATGTTTGTAATAAGCATCATCCTCTGGGCACTTCTGGGAGCCATGTGGTATTCATTGTCCAACCAAGCTGAGATCTCTCGGCCACTAACTACACAACCCTCTCTGTCACCTGAGATAGCGGCATGACTCTCTGGCTGGACAGGACCTACTGATCCCAGAGTGCATGTCTCGGCTTTCATGGAAAGAGAAGCTGGGGGCAGAATGGCACTCCCCAGGCCCACGAGCTCAGGCAGTGCCCCTGTGCCAGGCCATGCTGCTCTGAAGTGGCTCCCTTCCCGGCACACTGTACCTCCCAGTGCCTGCACGCTCACCTCTGCTTGGCTGATCATGTGTGGGCAGGTCATTAACAGAGTACGGCCAGGGCTACAGGAATGTGGGAAGCACGTGCTATCCCCAGGTGAGCCTTCTGCACCTGCATCACAGGCAGTTGGTTCTGGAAACCAGAGCGGGCTTGAACCCCACCGAGTCCTCAAATCTCCCTACCCAGAGAGCCCTGATCCCCACCCAAAATAAACAAAGACATCCTGAGCCTTGGGTGGGATCCTGGAGCTTCTAATTGATCCGCTGCCCTGATCAGGGTGCAAGACGACACTGGGCTCAGCTGGAAAAAGGGGTTGGGTGGGAAGGAGATGGTCACCCCAGAGGGAGGTAGACATTGTGTAACTCAGCCCATGGGGCAGCCACGGGGTGGGGACCCTCAGTGCCCCCCAGCTGTCATACATGGTTCTATCATGGACTTGGCTACCAGCTGATCACAAGAGGTTTGTCCTCATGGGCTCATCTCTAAAGGCTCTGTCGTGACCCCTGACCCTGGCCGACGCCTCTCTCCCATCTTGCCATGGCTCTCTGTGTTTGCGTGTGCAAGTCTCTTCGTGATGCTATCCTGAAGTTCTCTCCCATTTTTTTGCTGCTCTTTTTCTCTAGAATTATTCAGGAAATGTTTACTTGAAAGTTAGTTATACAAACCACTTAAAGCATTTTCTCCAAAGTGCATCCTACAAATAGTATAAACAAGCCTCAATTATAAAATGATACATGAATGTATCCAAATTACAGTGGTTAAGCTGTAATTTTCATTGACAAAGACGTGGTTGGCAGGATGTGCAGATTATTCCAAATTTCATCAAATCAGATGGGAGTGTAATTCCATCCTCTGAATGGAATATTTAGCCCAATGACTAACTGAAAATTGTTCTCTTTCTATTCTAAAACCCTCAAAACCTGCAAAGTCTAGGGAGGTTGGTGACCTCCAGTCGTTCTGCTGAGAAGCCATTAGCTCTATTACCATGGAGACCGAGGAAATAGAAGATTTGGAAAAACCCTGGAGGAAATCAGTGAGTGATTCATGGAAGATTGACAAGGAATCAGCCAAGGTGAGACCTGAGCTGCTTCCAGAAAAAGAGGAAATGCCCTGTACTGAGCAGGAGAGCCAGGATACAGAACCCCGCCGCCACATTCCCCTGCAGAGAAACTCTATCTTCAACCGCACCATGAGACGCAGAAGCCAAGCCAAGGCCAGAGGCACCCCTGAGCGGAACTCCAGCCACCTGGCAGGTCAGTGTCAGGGTCAGAGGTCGCAGCTGCGCCTTCACATCCCGGGAGAGTAATTAGCGTGGAAGATTCTCACGAAATGAAAAGAATAAAAGGCACTGAGAATCACCAGGGGCAGGTCTAATAAGGTGGACCATTTTGAAGCCATTATCTACACAATGTGAATTCCCCCACATTGTGCTGGTCATGAGAGTCTTGACCCCAATGATACAGTGAGGCTGACTTTTACTTAAAAGACTCAACAAACTCTCCTAGCTGCACGTACCTTCCAGGAGGGGACTCTGAGCCCACTGGGGAATTTCCTCAGTGGTCACATTCTATCCTGTCTTCTCCCTGTCACTGTGAGGATCAGAGTTTCTGCTGTCCTGAAAACGAATGAGATTCAACCTTTGGGCTATCTTAGCACCAGGACCCTCTTAAACCAGTTCCTGGCTCATTTTGTCTGCCCAAAACCTATTTGTTGAGCAGAATAAAGCCCAGAAGCCTTTACCCATGGGTGTGTGAGAGCTGCAGACCCCTTCCCTTGTGACCTGCCACCAGGGCTGAGTGGGCAGGGCAGGATTGCACGTGCGGGTGGTCTCCTGGCCCCTGGGGCATGGTGGATGCTGCCAGATGGTGCATTGGAGGTAGAACCCTGCTGAGGTCCAGTCACTCCATGACCTCATCCATAAAAGCTATTCTTCAGTGACCATCAGGTAGCTTTTGCCTTGAGTTAAACTACTTCCAGACAGAGATATAAACAAACAATGTCTGTGATTTCTCTCGATTCTGGGGTTGGTCAGGCCCTGTCTGGCCTGTTTTTCTGACCTCTGCTGTCAGCCAGTGGCTCTTTTGGGGCTGGAAGGCTGGAAGGAGCCTCGGCTCTCTGTGGTTAGCAAGTGGCCAAAGGAGGGCCTCAGCCCCACCCTGGCGTCTCTTCCTCCAGCCCTTCCTCCAGCTCGGGGGCTCAGGCTTCTTCACAGGGCAGAGGAGCCTCAGAGGCCAAGGAAGCTGCAGGGCTCCTCGCACTTTCATCAGAGCATCGTGGTCACTTACAGTATGTTCTGTTCGCTAATCAGCTCCCAGGGCCAGCCCAGGTAAAGACCGATGGGGTAGACGGCCCTAACGCTCAATGACGGTAGAACTTGGGTTTGCTGGAACCTCCCAGAAACATTCACAAAATCCTGTGACCAGGACAAAGTGAAGTGAGAGCTACACAACTACGGAAGTACTCTAGTCACCGAGGCTGGTGATGGGGACTGAACACACCCTCTCCACACCCTCTCAACTTTGTGTGCTTGAAAATTTATATAAATGAAAAGTTTAAAACATACTTCACACACAGAGAAAGTTGGAGTCTCTGCCTTCAGGACCCCATGATATAATGATGTCACTTTCCTGCGAGCCACATGCCAAGGTGGAAAAGGTGAAGAATGAGACTTTTCTGGTGGGGTCTGGAAAGGTTTCCCCAAGAGGAGGGTGTTTTGGAGAGTCTTGAGGGATGAGTAAGGACCTGGCCAGACGGCAGTGGAAGCTAACTGGGTCAAGCACTTGTAGGTTCCCAGGGCTGTGTAGACAGACATTCCAAGGGCAAGCTCACCACACCTACTTTACATATTAAAACAGCAACAGCCCCAAATCACAGCTAGTGAGTGGTTCAGCTCACAATGCAGTCCAGATGCTTCGAGTCCCCAAACCTGTGCAGACAGAGGAGCAGGCTAGAGGGACACTGTCCAGCAGAAATCCAATGCAAGCCACATGGCTTGCTTGAATTTTTCCAGTGGCCACATTAAAAGATTATGAAGAAGCAGGCAAAATTAATTTTAACAATGCATTTAATTTAACCTAATATATTCCAAATATTATCATCATATTGTAGAGTTAACTAATGAGATACTTTACACCCATTTTTTTTACATTGTCTTTGAAATCTGTTGGATATTTTATATCCCAGTCCTATCAATTTATATGCCAACTTTTCATTGGAAATACTTGATCTGGATTTAGATTTCATAAAATGTACAGTCAGAAGAGTAGATCTATAAATTGTTCCAAATATCACTAGAAGTTTCCTAATCACTGAATCAAGTATCAGTTTTTACATTTTTATATGAACTAAGTTGAAGAAAATGGATCGTGCGCTGCTTCAGCCACACCAGCCGTGTTTCAAGCATGCAATGACCACTGATGGCTAGAGGCTATCCTCTGGGGCAGAGTGGGCACGCAGCCCAGCAAGCAGACAGAAATGCATGTGCATCTGTCGAGTGGGGGGGCAGGGTGATTTCTGCAGTGGGAGAAAAGGTGGGTGTGGGGCTGTGTCTGAGAAGATGGTGGAGACAGGGTCACTGGGGAAGAGCCTTAGATTTGCAGACTTTTCAAGACCATCCAGGAATGCTGACCATGATAGGGGATACCTTACCTCCTGTCACCTCCACAGGTACCACTGATGCCCAGCCCAGAGGTACAAGATGCACGGCTTTATGGTCAAAATGAATCCCTCATTTCTCCTCCCTAGAGTTAACTCCACAAGATGGCCCAGCATTGCCTGCCTCCAAATCCAAGGAGAAAACATCCTTTTTCATCTCTCTGATGAGAAAGGACACAGGACGAGGAACGTTAGGAGCAGACAAAACAAGCCGAGGCTGCTCTGGTCCACTATGTAACCAGAAGGCTCGTGCTCTGGGTCCACAGAGTGGGACTCGGATCTGGGAGATGCAGCACACTCCCCTGCTAAATGGGTGCCCTTCAGAAACATGCTCCAGCATTGCCTAATGGGCCCAGGTGGACTTACTATTCAATGTTGAAAGGAACCAGACATCATAAAATCAGTTGAGAAAAGATGACAAGTTGTAGAGGATTTTTGTCCAGTGGAAATGAAAGTCCCAGGGGTTCTGGATTTTTTTTTGTCCTCTAAGACATTACCAGGTTTCCTTCAGGGGGTGAGAGGAGAAACCACCCTCCTCACTGCCCTTACCTCCCCTTCCAGGGCGACAGTCACTGCTTCCCTAATCTTAGAATTGCCTGAAAAGGGGGAGATGAATATTTTCTAACTTGCTCCATTTCTTAAATACCACAGATTCACAGGAAAATGGGAAATCTATAAATGAGCCTCTGACCTTGAATCTTCCCCAGAGCAGAAAGCCTCTCTGGAGAATACCAATGCAGATGGGGCCAGGAGCCCAGAAAACAAGGTAAGAGCTGGCAGGACCTGCTCATGCAAAGATGTGTCAGGCATCAGTGTGCAGAGCCTGGAGGGGGTGGGAGGGGGTCGTGTTTTAACAGCACAATTGCTTATGTTAAACACACACACACACACACACACACACACACACACACACACACCCTCCACTATTTCCTTATTTAAAAATAAAAAGGACCAGGAACAATGCTGCCCACCTATAATCCCAGCTCCTCGGGAAGCTGAGGAAGGAGGTTCAAAAGTTCAAGGCCAGCCTGTGCAACTTAGCAAGACCCTCTCCCAAAATACAAAATAAAAAGGGTTGGGAGTGTAGCTCACTGGTAGAGCACCCCTGGGTCCAACCCTGAGTACTAGGAAAAAAAAAAATTTGCTTTGCATGTCTGAGGACCTTGGTTCAATCCCCAGTATGGGAAAATACACACACACACACACACACACACACACACACACACTTTTTTTCTTCCATCACAAAACTGAGAAATTTTAGATATTATGCATATTGAGAAATGGAAGAAAAAAAATGGCCAGAAAGATAAAGGAAGGGGAGGGTCCAGGGTCCTGTACCTCCTTCCAGGGCACACCCCCATATGACCAGGACACTTCCACTAGACCCCTTTCCTTGAATGTTCCACCGTCTCCCAAAGGTGCCACTGGCTGGGGACCAAGCCTTTAATTCATGGGCCTTTGGGGGACACCTCCCCAAACCATGGCAGTCTCTCTGCTTGATTTGTGCTTATAAACGGAGGTTTCATGGTCTAAGTTTAACAGACCAAAAAATACCATCAGCACCACCAGCAAAACCCCACCTGGCGCAACACCAGTGAGCGTAAAGGGCACCAGAGCCCTTATCTCAAGCAGAGCCCCAACGTTTTACCTCCCTGTCTTGTTGTGATCATCCCTATAGTTAGTGTCTTCATCAATCCCATTTTAACTACTCATCAAAGTCGTTTTATGTTACACTAAATGTGTAGATCTTGAGTCTACAGCTTGCGTGGATACTCCTTGTTGAAAATAAAACACACATATACACCCCTTGACCATCAACCAGACCAAGTACACACATGCCCATTGCCCCAGGAGGCCCTGCAGGCCTCTCAGACGTGACCATCTTCTGCCTTCCAACGCCATGACGTTAGTTTCATGGGTTCTTAAACTTCACGCAAATGGGATCACACAGTGTATACCCGTGGTGCCCAATTTATTTTGCTCAACATAATATTTTTTAGATCCATGTGGATGAGATTTTCTCATTTATTGCTAAGAAGTAAGACCACAATTTATTTATCTGCCCATCCTTTTTTTGTTTTTGTTTTGTTTGGGGTGCTGGGGACTGAACTCAGGGGTGCTTGACCACTGAGCCACATCCCCAACCCTTTTTATGTTTTGAGACAGGGCCTCACTAAGTTGCTAAGGCTGGCTTTGAGCTCGTGATCCTCCTGATTCAGCCTCCCAGATTGCTGTAACATCCCTAGAAGAGTCTTTTTGTGGACATACACCTTCATTTTTCTGAAATACAAATCCAGGAGTCCAATTGCTGGGTCTTAGGGTAGGTGTATACTTAACTTCGTGAGAAATAGCCAAATAATTTCCAAATGTGCTACATGCTTGTACTCTGGTACCCACTCACCAGCAAGGAATCAAAGATCCGGTTACTCTGTATCCTCTGCCGCACTTGGAACCGCCAGTCTTTGTAATCGCACCTTTCTAGTACATTGTGGTTTCTCCCTGTTGTTCCAGTGTGCGTTTCCCTGGTGACCACCGTGTTGAGCACCTCTTCATTGGCCTTCCATGGGTCTTCTTTTGTGTAGTGCCTGTTTATTTGCTGATTATTCATTCCTTATCTTTAATTTATAGTTTTTTATTTATCAAATGAAAGTCCTTGGTCAGATAGTCCAAATATATTTCCTACCAGTCTATAGCTTCTTTTGTAATGAGCAGAAAAACTTTGATTTTGAGAAAGACTAACTTTGCAATCCTTTTTATTGTTTATCATTTTCTATGTTACCTAGGAAATATTTGACCACATCAAAGACACGAAGCTATTCTGTGTTTTCGCACAGGAATTTATGTGTTCAGCTCTCACGTTCATGTCCCTGTGGTCCATGGGGAGGTCCTGTGGCTCCAGAACCACCTAGTAAAAGGGTCTCTGTCTCCCTCAACGAGTCACACTGATGCCTTTTTAAAAAGTTCCCTGTAGATATGTGGGTCTATTTCTGGACTTGAATTCTGTTTCATTGATCTAATTATCTATCCTTATGCAAATACCAGAGTGTCTTAAATTCTGAAGCTTTTTGCAAAGTCTTGAAGTCTGGTAGTATAAGTCCTCCTACTTTGTTCTTTTTAAAGATAGTTTTGACTATTTTAAGTCTTTCATATTTCCATATACATTTTAGAATTGGTGTGTCGATTCTACCCCCCCCCCAAAATATCTGCTAAATTTTCAGTTGAAATTGCATTGTTCTCATAGATAAATTTGGGGATCCTTTACACTTAAACACTGGCATTTAAAATCATTTAATCTACAAACACATCTTAGCTTTCCATTTATTTGCTTATTTTAAAAATTAATCCAGCAATGATTCATAGCTTAAAAGCTTTATGTATATTCTAATTAAATTTGTTCCCAGGTAATTTATGCTTTGTGATCCTATTTTAAAAGCCAGTGTTTGTGATTTCATTTGTAAATTGCTTTTGAGCAAAATACATTGGTAGTATGTAAAAATACAATTAATTTTTCCACATTCACCTGGTAACCTGTGGTCATGATGAACTTGGTTATTACTTCTCCTGGTACATCCCTTTGGATTTTCTGTGCACACAGTCATGCCATCTGGGAATACAATTTCACTCTTTCTTTCCAGTCTTCATACCTTCTATTTGTTTTTCCTGCCATATTGCACAAATAAGGACTTCCTTTACAATGCTGAATAGAAGTGGTGACAGCAGATATCCTGGTCTTACTCCCTGGTCAAGGTCACTTTGATTGGGAACATCTGAAGCCTACTCGTACTTTTTCAAGTGAAAGAGGTAATTGTAAGAGTGCTGAACTCTCAGAGAGTCCAAGTGCAAGAGAAAGCTCCTCTTCACAGGAATGGAAAAGGCGTTGAAGCCAGGGCCGCGTTACCCTGTTCTCCAAGGTCACAGGCCCACGTCTCCTTGCTTCTCCGTGTCCTGTTCTGTTCTCCTACCTCTTTCTCAGACCATCTTCTCCTGCCTGTCAGCCTGTGCATAACCTAAATGGCAGCCTTTGCCAGTAGGATCCTTCAACTCGTCTCCCCAGAGTCTGGGAGCTTCTTTTCATTTGTCTTAGAGAAAAAGAATTTCTAAGCAACAGAGTTGATTGGCCATCCTTGAGTCAGATGTACATCTCTAGAACAATAAGCTGAAAGGACCAGGGCAGGATTAAAGGGCCAGTCCCCCTTCCTCAGAGGGAGCTGTGGGAGAATCAAGGAGACGGGGCATTATGTAGAGTCTGGTCTCGCACGTGACAATGCCAAGGGTACCTGGGCGAGGGGAGAAGCAGCAGCAGAGATAATGAGTGGGGAGTGGGGCTGTAGAGAAGGATTGGGGTCTTTGAGACCAAGGTGGGTATAGAAACCTGTCCCCTAGAGGGTTAGGAGCTTGGGTGGTACTGATATAAGGCGGGTAGTCAGTGCCTCTTTTCAGAGGTTCTGAAATTGTCCACAGCTCACCCAGGGGCATTCTGCAAGTCCTCTTCCACACACCATCAAGCAGTGAGAGTCACGGTGCCACAGGACAGGGTGGCAGGAGAGAGGCACAGTGGTGGTAGAAAGATGCTCTATACAGAGGATTGTAGGGGAAGAGAAGTGCTGGGGGAGATGGGGACCAACATTTGTTGAGCCCTGTTATACACACTCTCATTATTCCCAGTTCACAGAAAAGAAAATTCAGTGCCTGGCTAGAGGTTGTACGGCTAATGAGACAGCTAGACCATGAACACAGAGACTCCTGACTCCACTCCCCGGGGTCTCCCATGCCCAGGCCGCCAATGGGGACATGGCCAGGTGATCTTGGCTGTGAGAAGGAGGCTGTCCCTGTTAACCTGGCTGCAGAGGGCAAAGGCCAGAGGCCTAGGGTTCCTTCACCCCCAGCCCAGCGCTGGCCTGGTTCCTCAGAGACCCTCAGCCAAGTCAAGATGTCATAAGTTGGGTCTCTATTTACATAAGTGCGATGTCATGAATCAGGGTTCTAACCCCCAAAATCATCACGTGCCATGAAGACACCAGATTTATTTGAATATATATAATGCTCACTATTTATGTATTTATATATATTATATACATAGTAAAATAGCATGTGCTTTCATAACCTGATATTTAGTATATACAACTAAGTTGCATCAGAAAACTTCATGTGGGCAATTTTCCTGCATCAGCTGAGTGAGCATCAGCCTTCCTTTCCCCGGCAGCACCCGGGGGAGCTGCAGGAGCTGTCCATCGCTCCGAGGATCCTCAGCACTGAACATCAGTGTCACACCAGGGCTGTGGCCCTAGGTTGCCACAGCTCTGCTCTAAATGGTTGAGCCCTACTCCCTGGTTATCAAATACTGTGACTACTGTCCTGAATCCATCTCAAAAAATGCCATAAGCTCTTTTAATGTCGCCAAAGACTCATGCATGGTACTGTGAGTCTTTGCTGACGTTGGGAAAGGACCAGTGTCCATGCTGGCCATGGCATGTGTTTCAGGAAAACATGTAAGTGGCCTATGAAGTTACCCTGGGGCAGCTGGCCATAGGTTCGTCAGCGTTTGTTTGGGTTGTTCATTCTGAGAGTCCTGCTGTGAGAATCTGTAAATATCGCAGACCAATACTGAAGTAGTTGGGGGCTGCTGTTCCGGGGGTTAGTTCATTTACAAGCCTTCAGGGCAAGAGAGGAGCTGAGGAACCGCAGCCTGACACTGGCCAGTCTGTAGCTCTAGCTGTCAGTTTACAGGAGAGAGAGCAATGGATTAAGACTCCACACAACGCGATC